TGCCATGGTCATCCTTGCCCTTCTTGAAATCTGGGACAATGTTAGCCAGTTTTCACTCATCTGGGACCTCTTCAGATTCCCAAGACCATTTAAAAATGGTATTCTTTTGAGTTTGGAGCTCTTTGTATATGTGGAAGAGAAAACTATTAATTTAGATACATATAAGCAGCTGTTTCAGTCTTGGTGGTCATGAGTACTGCATTGATTGCAGTGATGGAAACTGAATTAAAATCTTTAAAGATAGTGGAATATGCTCAGTGTGAATATAAGTATAATAATTTGCTAATGGACTAGAAAGCTCTAATCAGTATTAAAATCCCTTGAGACATATAGGTTTGGGTTCTTTTTTTAAATCTTGCTTGGGGCTACATAAATGCATTCTGAAATGCTCATAATTTATTGGCCTTGTTTTACTCTAACAAAAATTAGGTTCTAAGAAATACCTATTTCTCTAGAGCTCTTTAAAATAATAATATGGATATGTAGAAATTCTCTTAATGGTTTGCATGCATGGCAAGTACTGTTTAAATTAAAATAGTTTGAAGCACATACCAGTACTGTTTTACATCTCCGTTATTTTAGTCCCAGGGTGATTTCTGGTGTCTAGCCTGATAGTACGAGGGTCCAGCCTCATTGAAACATCTTTTAGTATTGAATGTTTTTGAACTGTGACAGTTGCCATTCATCACAACCTAACACAGGTACAGGGCAAAATTGCAGTTGTTCTGCCTCTACTAGCCATGAATATATCCATTCTGAAACACTTTGTTTAAACTGGTTGAATTAGAAACATCTTGATTCACCCCTCAAAACAGGGCCTTCGTGTCAGATTCATTGTGTGAAGGGACAAACTTGTAAGTGGTATAATATGTGATTAAACTTGGTTGTGTACATGTGTGCGAGATAAGTAATTTCTAGCTGAGAGAAACTGGTTTATTCAGCTGCTTGAAAATTCCTTCATACTGGATTGAAACCTGCCTGGCTGCCTTGTGCATCTCCCGGAATGCTGCAGTATCTGTTCAGTAGCATTGTGGGAAACATCCAAATGATGACTGAAACCCATGGGATGTGTATTGGGAGTGAAAATGATAGGAAATACTTGACATTAAAAAAAATTATGATTTTGAATCAAAGCAAATTTAAAGATAATATGATCAGAGTGTCTAACAAAATTATTTCTCAGGGATTTACTATACACTTATGTAACTTAAAACATCAATACCTAGAGTTACAAAGTTTGGGAAATCCATAATAGTTTTAATGTATAACTGAAAACCCTGACTTGTGTTTTGGAGAAGAGCTGTTCTTAGCTTGATGATGCAAAAAGTGTGTTGACAATTTTCTCCAAACTGCCATTTTTTTCCTAAAAATAACCTTGCTTTAAAACCGCATAGTAGCAATATTTTCTGTGCTATATGAATTGTTTTATATTTTCCTGCATGATCTGCAACTGCTTCAGGAGGTGAGAGTCTTGAATCAGATCTACATGCAGCCTGCAGATATTGGGGTAGTTTACAGCATATTATCTATGTAAGCAAAACTGAATTTAAGTACGAATGTCAACTTCAGAGTACTCTGAATCATGTTGTAGCATTTTTCACGATATGAGTAGATATTTGTGACTATAAGAACTGATTCTGTGTACAGTTCTGTATTTGTGCATTCCCCTTTGCCAGAACAATGTGAACATAAAAATGTGTTATTGATCCAATTTGTAGACTTTTCTCTGGCACATCAGTATTCTCTGAGAATGTGAAGCAGAATGTTGTCTATCATTATCTTCAGTTGCTTAAAATGGGAGGTCATGCAGTGTTTGAAATCAAGAAGTTACTACTCCAGGTAGAATAAAGTCCATGTCCTGTTTCCCACTCTTGTTACACCCAGCACAGATGTAAAGAAGTCAAACATTCCAGTTCATGAGGGAGTTTAACCATTCTAGTTAGTTATTGGCACGTTAATGGATCAGCTAGAATAAATAAGATAGTACTATTGTATTTTACTGATTCCAATCAACAAATATCTGCTCCTAAATCTATTTTTTGATACTTTTCACCAGCAGTAAAAATTACAACTGGGGTACGTGTGTGTGGAAAAAAGTCTGTCTGAATAGCTGCATACCCTTTTTTTCCTCACTTATCTGAATGTTATGATGGAATATAAAATCTTCATCTCCAGGTTAATATTTGCAGTATTTTGCCACATACTGTGTTGGTCCAGTGTCAGGCAAACTGCAAAAGATAATGATTCTTTCAGAATGTTTTAAATCTGTATTTTTCCTGGAAGTTTGATCCGTTAAATATAAGCCACTGTAGTATAGCTTGAAAGACACTTAGTTGGTGTTCACTGATACACAGCTTAATGAGATATAATCTTTACATCTGGATCTGGAATGTAACCACTGTAAATAAATTGTTTTTGTAAAACTGCACAAAAGTATGATCCCTAATTTTGCAGGCAATATCCTGAATTTGCTGGTGATTTTGAGTAGTATTAAACATGTAAAACATTTGATTTTTTTAATAGTTTTAGCTTATAGTTCATATTTAGTTAGCTTCATATTTAGTTAGAAAAGGGAATATCTTTATTTCTACATCTCATTTCTCTTGTTGTCTTTTTCCATGTATTATTCGTCTTTTGGGAAGAGCCATCAATGCCTTTATAATGCTTTTTCATTAATGCTCATTCTTCTAGACAATTTATAAATTTATGTGTTCTATCTCCCATGAGAATAAGGATATATTGCTTAGAAAAAAACCAACAAGAATCCTATGGCTACATTAGGCCTTGAAAGATGGCGATAGCAGGATTGTTTTAGTGACCCATGCCACTGTGCAATCTCCTTTAGGAAAAAAGTTATAATTACAGAAACTCAGAGGCTGTTCATAGCCTCCACTAGGGCTAGTGACCATCTTTAGTTGCAGACACAATGCATTCTCTGTCTCAAATTTGTTGCAACATTATTTTCTGGCACTGGTGACATAAAACATGCTTGCACAAGAAATTAAATATGGGAAGTGTTTTTATAATTTTAAAACAAATCAACAGAGCTTTTCAGATCAAGTAAGCAAAGTTGTTCTGTCATTATAAATAACAGTGTCCAAAAGAATGATGTAATATGCTGTATTTTTATGGGACTTTTTGTATAACTGTTTAATATATATTGCTTTAATATTTATTTTTTTGCTTTAGGTTTGGAGAAATCATGCTATTATATTAGGTGGAGTACTAAATGGAAGCATCAGTTTAAATGCAGAACTTGATTATATTTAAATGGTGACTGTACAGTAGGTGTATGTTTTGTTGGTTAAATAACACTACTTCAATACCTACCTGCCCTTCTGGGGACAGAGTTTTTTGAAGCATCCTGCAGAACAACCAATTTAGGCAGTGCTATAATTAAGTAAATGGATTCTAGATAACCCTGATGTCAGACGCAAAACTTTCAGATCTAGAGACTGTTTTCAGCCCAAAATTGTCACATTAACTAATGTTGATGATGGCACATTTGGCTATGGTAATTTATATGGCAGTTGAATGACCGGACTGAAAAGCATACCAAAGAATAGTCCAGAAAAACTTAAGTTTACCAAAACAAAGTGAAAATGAACAATTTTATTAATTTTAAGAAAGGATTTGAAAAAAAAAGCGTGGAATCTAGGAAAAAAGAACAGCAAGTCAATCTCTTCTTGTGAAAGAATTAACTAAATTTTTTTACATGTTATCTACGTTGCTTTTAAAGGACTAGTGTCTGGAAAAAGTATCAAATAATCTGCATGCAGTCAGAAATGAATAATGAACTATGAGAAAAGAGCTAACAGACTGGGGTGCTCACAGTGAGGCGTCATAATAAGAGAAAGAGAAAAAGTAGATTAATTTGTCTCCTTTCCTTTATATCTCTAATGTCAGTGGAATATTTTGTATTGTAAATCATTGAAGCTTCTTTATGATTGAACTATGCAAGTATTGGTAATCTTTATTTCTTAAGGAAGTAAACACAGGTACTTTCAGTTAGCTGTTCTGTACTTGGATCCTGAGAGACTTGACAGTCAGAATTCAGTACTGTGAGGTTGTCCAGGCAGTTTCATAATCTCATAACTCTCCTAATTGCTAACAAACTGGAACTGATCTGAATTCAGAGTCAGTCTCTGGGTTAGATAAAGCAATGCTCTTCACGTACAAAGCTTATGAGCAAACTTCTGATAGTTGAAATATTAATAAGCCTGCAGCATGTTTTTTTGTTTTTCCTGCTCTTCATAAAGTTATAACTTCAAGGTTTCCCAGAATTCTAAACATGTTGCAATTTATCAAAAACATGATTTTAATCATAAAAATATGTGCATAAAATAAAGTAAAAAAGCAACTCGTGACATATCCTGCAGAACTCAAACAAAATTAATTTATAATGTGAAGTGTTACATGTGTGCACGTATGTGCCAATGTCTGTAATTGTCACACTAGTGGCAATACAAGGTATTAGGATTTTATGGTGTAAAAACTATAAAAAGCTTTTCTACTATTTTGTCACAGTGAACTGTTTCCCTTATCAAAACTATTCCATTTTAGTAAGAAAAGGTAATTATTGTCATAACAGTCAAAATTATCTGCAGTAACATACAGTAACTTTTCATATATAATTGCATAGCTTTGATGATCTGCTTTAATTAATTTTCAGAGTGAATCTCTGATTTTTTTCATTCAATTCTAAAAATACACCAGAAGATTGATTTAAGCATAGAAGAGTTTCTTTGTGAATTTAAATGGTGTGTTTTTCCCCAGTCAGGCTGTCTTCTTTGTGTCCTTGTGGCTATTTTCAGCCACCTCAACAGCCCATGCCTGGAAACAGTCATATCACTGATATGTTTAATCTAATAGTTTATTCCGCTGAAAAGGAGTGTTGTGAAGGGTGTAAAATAAAAACCTCAATGACTATTTTACACAGTACTTTTTCTATCAGATCATGAGACAGGAAGTTGAATTTACAACTTTTTTTCATTTTGCAGAGTTACTAGAGAAGACACACAGAAGAGAGGAAGAAATGGGAGCTCTCCAGGTATATTTTCTGCTCAATTAAGTAGCTACTTCTTTGTTCACCCTTAAAATTACCAAATTGTATTACAGCATTACGATTTTCTGAACTCCCTTGTAGCTTAAATTCAGATTTGGAAATATACGCAGACAAATAGAGATACAATAGCCAGTTATACTCGCTGCTGAGGTTTTGCCCGCCAATTAAGTTGCACGTTAGCGAAGAGTGAAGTAGTCAGCATTCTCTTATGAGTCTGTCAATCTAGTATACCAGCGAATGTAACGTTGCTTTTAAATCACACTATATACTTAAGTTGTTATGTTATTCTGCTGGCTTCACTGAAACTGTATCTGAATGAGGGCAGGCAGTGCTAATCTGCATTAGGAACTGCAAAAATGCTGCATAGTCTACTTCACTACTTGAGTTAAGTTCTCTCCGCTATGTTACTTTCTTTTGTATCTCTGAATAAAACTGAAAGTAAAATGCTTTAAGTAAGTATTTAAAGTCTCTAAAACAGTGTATGTCCATAATCACCTTCCTGAGGAAGAAGGGACCAGTAAATTTATGCTAGGACTTGATACAGTATAATAAAGTCTCATTGTATGTCATCTAGCAGTGAAGCTGTTTGTGCTAAGCACTTTAAATTTGCACTTAGAAAGTCAGATCTTCCCTAAGCTGAGCTTTGGAATAGTATTTAAGCATTACAGTCAAAGAAAACATACTCCTTTCAAATTGAAGTGGCTAAGAAAGCAAAACTGGGCTGGAATGTCTGAGCTGTGAGGCTCAGGAGACTATTAGGGAGGGTAGTGTATATATCCTTCATAATGCAGAAGGAAAAAAAGAAATTTTTAACAACAAATTACTGCAAACAATACCCAACACGGATATAAAAATAAGTTTATATACAATATGAAGAGTGTATCCATGAGGCAGCATTCTGCAAGTGTACTGAAAGCAGGACATTTGCGAGGGAATTGATAAGACTCACAAGGAAAATGAAGTTATGTATTGACTGAGTTTTGATCATAGGAATTTGTTTGAAGGTAACCCTTCTCATATAATAAATAGAAGGCATTTTGAGGGCTAGAGGTATCAAAGAGTGAACAAATAGTTTGATCCAGTAAGAAGAGACAAATTGCAAGGCCCAAAAGTTACACAACACACCAATCCAGCTGTTTCCTGTTCAAACAAAAATCTTGGCCTGGCTTTCTGGCAGCTCAAGTTCAACAAGGCTGAAAGCTTGTCTGCGCAAGCAGTTTACACAGGTGCATATCTAGTTACATCAATGTAAAAAGATCTCCTTTCATGTGAAGCAATGCTGCATCTGCTTTCATGTGAACCTTTATGGTTGACAAATTGTTCTAATGATATGAGTTCTGATTGAATGAGGAGTAATTTTATACTGCAGGAAGTTGCATCATAATCGTGTCTTGTATGGATATATGTGCCTGCCTGTATTTCTGATGGTATGTAAAACTAGATTACCTTATGCCCTTCCCTAACTGGCAGTTCTGGTTAAGTGTGTGAATTGTAGTGCTCTGGCTGCTATTTTTGTATTCAAATGCTTGATAGCAGTTTTTTCTTCCTTCAGTTATCCATGCATTCACAAAGTACTCAGCAAAAACATTTATTATTTTTCTACATAGTATAGGATCCAGCTTAGTCAATGTGTGTCAAAATATTCCCCTCTGTTCTTGTAATGTTGTATTCTAAACTTGCAGTGATCAAATATGTACAACTTTACTAGCAAATGGTTGTTAAAACCAACTTGTGTCATCAAGACTGAATCTCCCCAAACTGTTGCATCTTCATAGGAATGAAGAGGAAAGTGAGAGTTTTTTTTTAAACATGACATTTCCAGGAGCTGAAACTTCTTATCCTCTTGTTAATCCAGATGACATGGAATATTTTTATTCTCTGAGCCCCACTTAAGCAAAGCATGTGTATAGTTGGTTAATGTATGAATGCTTTCATTGAAGTAGATTGCTAGAAGTTACTTGTTTGTCAAATTAAGGGCTACTAGCAAATAAAATCTTACTCCTTCCCCCAAAGCCCCCAGTGTATTGATAGAATTCCCTTAATATGAGGTCCTACTCAGTTAGAGTCCTTGGTTCAGTAGACAATTGGTCATGTTGATTGTTGCTGGGTTTTTTTCATCTACAATTCCAGGGATTCTGGTTTGATAATTACCTTATAAATACAGAGAAGTATATGAAGAAAGTCAATCCTTGCTCTGTTCTGTTTGCAGTCCAAATAGATCATATGTGTAAAGCATGTTTGGGAAACAGGCGGATAGAAAGATTGTACGTTTTAGACATTATGGACAGACAATTCAAAACATTCAAAGCAGGCTGTCGTTACTTAGGAAGTTTTTTCTTGTTACTTGAGCCATGAACGTTGACCACAGTCTTAGAAAACCTAGAGACATGAGGAAATCTGTCAGAAATCAGTGTGTTGATGTGGGAAAATTATGACTGGGGATACCATGGGGTTCTCTGCCATGTCTCTGCATCATATTCCCTAGAACTAAGGTTATGTGTTTTATTATTCTTTCAGTTTGCTTATTTTTTGAGGGGGGACAAAAAGCACCTTTTGTTAAAAATAGTTGGAATTAAGTACAGTTAGTGCTACAATGCCATCAGCTGAAATCTGCAAAGGACTGAAAGAAAAAAGCAGTTCTGTGAGGCTTGTTCCTGGAAATATTGGGCTAGTAGTTTTTTCTTGTGTTCCTCTAGTCAGGGAATATGTTGGGCTACAACTAGCATGACAAGACAAAATAATACCTCATTAAGTAGACAGTGAGAATTTTTATAACTACATATTTCTAAATGAACCTGACTTGCCTTATGTGTCAAGATGGACACTGCAGTTCTTTGGTACAGGGTATTTGGGAGGTAGGAGGCTGACTCTTTGTGTGACTTTACTGTATTCTTGGATTTTCATTTTGAACTTATTGCATACTTTTGACTAGAGTTTCACCACTCCAAGAATATAACCTCTCTTATTTTCTTACTTTGGTGGAAGAAAAAACACTTAAGGTTTTCACTTTTCTTTTTGTCAAAGCTGTTCCATGGTACAAAAGGTTGGATTAATGAAAATAATATGCTATGCATGACATGGTAATTGCAATATTCAACTGAATTATACTCTCTGCAAAAACATTTGCAAGCCGTTTTCTTTTGCTTTCGAATTAGTGACATGCTAATAGGAATTTGAAAAATAGAGTCTTAATTGGAAAATATATTGATAGTGTATAAATGATCCGTGGTAAATTTACTAATACATTAGATTAGTTTGGTCTTCATAAAATTGTCTACTGAGGTTGTAAGAATTTATTATATTTTTAGAGTTTGGCAAGTAGATCAGACACTTTATTTAATGCATGAGTCATTTTGAAAACACTTTATTTTACCATTTAAATCATCCTACTGATACACTCACTCTAAGACTTTATTTTCAAAGTAGTCCTCTTTAGCTGAAGAAAACTATATCTGAATCGCTGTTCATTATCGCCACAAATTTATGAGATCTGTAATTAACATCTTTTTATAGTAATGAGTTTGAGTTTTGTTTCAGAATCTTTAAATAAATACGAGTGTCTGTAACAGCCACTGCAATTTTGTGGAAGAACAAACATCTCAAAATAAATATTTTTGAGTTTTTCACATAACATTTTTTGTCAGAAGTTTGTTCTGATGTACAGAAATACTCAGTCTGTTTCTCAGATCTCCTTCTATGAAAGAATAAAGACTCTAGCATTTCATACACTACCTTTCATGAGAAAAATTTGAGTAATATTTGAACAAGGTAAGAGTTCCTGTAATGGTTATGCACTCTAAATGTGGGGTCACCTAAACACTTGAATGTGTGTTTTGTCAGGTTGCTTAAAATACCATACCTAGTCAGTATATAGTGCCAGAGTACACCATCTTGATTTTGCTAGCTTAATATTTTTCTTAAAGATACTTTTAAATGGAAAAATAATATTAAAATATATACAGTAAATTTGCAGATTCTGGTTTCTCTGTATCCTGTGCTGGATTAGAATTGACACAAGCTTATTTTATTTGTAGTTTATTTTTGTCTGACATGAGACTATGACTAACGTCATCCTGTTATTAATAAAACATTATTCAGAGCTATTTCTGGATAAAAGAATAACGATATGGAATTTACTTTTTAGTTTTCTAAGGAAATACCTAAAAGAAAACTAAACCAGATGCTAACATGACATGAACTCCAAAACATGCTAGATTTAAAATCAGAGATGATCAAAAAAAGAAATAATTCTTTTGTATACATGAGAGTAAAATCAACAATATTGAAAATCTAATATACTAGTTGAAAAAAATATATTTTGGAGTAATTTTTTTCAAATCCTTTCCTTGTTTCTAGGGAGTTTCTTTTTTTTTTGGAACAAATTTCTGAGTAAGTATGATAAATAGATTAGACATCCAGTTAAGTACAACAGTTCCTATTCAGTGAGATTATTACAAAAAAACTATACATATGACCACCAAAAAAACAAAATTAATCATCTTCATCATTGTTTGACTTACATTGTGTTTACATTCTTTGTTTTCTAATGGCATCTTCTACTTTATTTTTAGGAACGTATTATGGCCTTGGAAATGGTAAGTTTCTTAAATTAATTTCCAAACCTATCACAATGACATTGCTGATAATTTGTCTAAATGATGAAAAATATTGTTTTTATATATTTTTTTAAAAAAAGGTTGCAGTTCTGGGCTTTCAGCTGTCATTTTACTTTTAAGAGAAGATGCGATGATTTTACACTGCAGCTTTCTGTGTAGGTTTTTACTACAGTATTTTTGCATTCATTATATGAAATACACTGTATTTCAGTGTTGTAATTTTTCTGTGCAGTTCAGTCCTCATCCCATCCCTGGGGAGAGAAATGTTGTAGATTTGATTCATACAAAAGATGTTATTTTTCTAACACTTCTAATGGTTGAGGTCCATATATATTAGATAGATCTAATTATTTCAGTAACCGTTACATGTACTTACTTTTTTGGACTGGGAGGTGCAAACAGAATCAGTTAATCTGCCCATATCAACATTGCAACTAAAACCATAAAGGAATATAATTTTAATAATGAATTAATATAATTTAATAAGATCCTAAGTTTGAAGGACAAAACTTCATGCTTATACATGCCATGAATGGAGCTGGATTGTCCAGATGTCCCAAACTAGTAAGTCTGTCAGGTGGAATAGCTGGAATGGTGCTCAGCTTGTCCTATAATTTCTGAACAAGGCTTTCTTCTTATATAGGAATGCCCAGTAATACATCACGAATTATATGTATCAGGCCCATAGTTTCTTTTCATGAGCAATCCAAAAAATTTCATCTAAAGAAACGACTACTGAGACAATATCAATGCTGCAAATATAATTTATCAGTGCAAATTATAATTTTATTCTCTCTGATGGTTTGGTTTTGATTTCAAAAATATATTTACAATATATTCAACATCTTAAAATGCATGCATTCACTCATAAAAGGCCCTTTGGAATTCAAAGTGTCATGCTGGAAATCTTGCCTTATGGAAGTAGGAAGCTGATGCTTGCATTCAATGTCCTGGCACTTCACATAGTGCTATGTGAGTGTCAAGAGTGTCAACAGGACATTAATTCTGTTCAGGGTCATCTCTTATTCATGGTTTGCTTACATGACAACCAGTCAGGCATGTATCCACTGTCAGCCATTTCTCACAAACCATGAGTTAAACTGCCTGCAAATTCCTTGTCCTTTCTACTCCCACAGCCATTTTGACACAGGCAGAGGATAGTTGCTTGCAAATAGCACAGTATCATGCAAATTCAGTCCATATTTTGTGACAGTGTTTGTTTCTATTTTTTATGGAGCTTTTTTCATTTTTATACTTCCAATCTCTCCAAATTTTAAAAGGAAGATTTGTAAGTTACTGCTCAAATAGAAGAAAAGGATTATTATCAGTAAAATATAATTTTCTTTCTTAATCCAAGTTGGTAGGTGACACGTGAATACAAATTTGTGATGCTAAATCCTAGAGCTTTTGTTATTGCTGATTTAAGAAGATATGTAGTGTTAAGCCCTGAGATTGCTAACATGACAAGTATGGTCATCACTGAGGTTTTTGAATACTCTCAAGGCATTCATTTTACTTTTGCCATAAACTTCCTCTGTGATGTCAGGCAAATAACTTAAACTGAATTTTTCAAATATGTTTAATTACTTTGTGTTTCTCATTTTCTGGGTGCCTGATTTTGTGATTTTTGAGGCCTGATTTACAGTAATAGCTAAATTCAGTGGGAGCTTTGGCTATCTGTAGTTGCTAAGTATATTCAAAAGTCAGATGTTAGATTGCTGATGTGAATGCTTTGAAATAATAAGTGGGTTTAACCTTTATATCTCTGTTTCAGTTCTGAGGATGGCAGCATTCTCTCTCTCCTCTCCCCCTTTCACTGATCTAGAAAAGAGGAGTAATGCTCACACAGTCTGAATGTGTCAGGATGAGCTATGATAGAAAAACCCTTGAGTAAAAGAATAAATAAGGCTTGCTGTTTAAGGGATCCTTAAGAATCTTTAAATTTCTAGTGTGTATGTCTGCATAGCTGTATATCTGTGTAGCATTTATGAGTACATAGTAGTTACGGTACTTATATATTTGTATAATTTTCATATCAACTGTTATTTGAATGCTCAGAGCATGACATCAAAAAAAGTACCAGTTAAGTATTTTGTGATGATTCAGGTTATAGAAAATAGAAATGGAATAGAGATGTAAGGTATTAAATTCAAACAGAATCCTTAGTGAAAAAAATGTTTAAATTGTGTACAAAAAGCATTTTCTTAGAATTTTGACAGTGATGCTTCATGAGATTCACAAGATGCAAGATACAAGAAGGTGAAAAAGAAGGGAAGAGATGCGCACGCGCGCCCATACACTGTACAAAATGCATAGGAAAACATCAGCTCTCCAGAACTACTGTCCTACTCTCCTCCCTTTCTCTACAATCTTCTCACTTCTAAGTCCTGCACTTGCCAGTAAAATTGTTGTAGTGACCATGTGATGAACTTGGCAACTTAGCTAATAAAAAAAATTGGGAAGGAAATGTAACCCGAACCTTTCAGATTCATTTTAGAGCTCTGGGTGAATAAGCCTTCCAGGCCTAGCTTAATCTAATTCAGTGATTTTGTGAGTTGCTGCAAACTACGGGGTCAATTGCCTCATCTCTGAGCCCTGTCAGCTCCTTCTCCTCTCAGCAGTCTGAGCTGGAAGCTCCATCTCCTGTCTACTGTGCCAGACAGTTTCTTGGGTCTTCTATTTCCTTAGCCAACTCCTGGTTCCCAAAAAAAGTGCTGTATTGCCACCCTCTTTCAAGATATGACACATGATCTGATCACTCCCTTAAGGAACCTGAGAACAAATACTACCCATCAAAGAAGCTTTTGGATTTTTTGGCTCTTTTTCTTCGATCAAATCAATTTTGCAATATGATTCAGTAGGTAGGTACACAGCTTCTTGCTTCAGCAGGTAGTGGAGGACAGGAGCAGAAGCTGGAAGGTAAGAAGGAAGAACAGGGTTAATTAGACAGACTCACTCCTCTAAAAGGAGCTGAAGAATCAAGGTGTTCTCTGGAATAATCCTTCGCCTCTTGAGAAGTGCCAGGGTAATAACAAGTACAGGCAAAACTGAGGTTTTGGATACCTAGAGGTTATGTGTTTGGCTCTTTTTTGTTGTTTAATGCTGTTTAATAAAGTGAATTTAATTATTTCATAGCTGTTAACAAGTAATTTTCTTTATTACTTTAGTAATCAATTTTGTAGTCTGACATTTTATGAGAATGAGTATGATTTTATCTTTAAATAAGGTGATTTACTTTATTCTTGAGTGTAGCTTAGTTCTGACATACAGGATTTGGATCTATGTTATTTACAGAAAAAGGTGTATGACTTTTTTGGGGGAAAATCTGTTGTATTCTGAGATGTGGCTACAATGGGAAGTGTATGTATTTCTCATAAAGAGGTCAGGATGCATTTTGTAGGTGTACACTGTTACTATACTGTGCTTGTGACTTCAGTGGGCTTCTATAAACTACACACTGTTCTTTGTGAGCATACTCTGCAAGTCATATTCCTCTGCCTTAGCAGTACTATTCTGACTTAAATGACTGCAAAATTTAATTTGAAATCAACCACATCCTGAAGTTATTCCAGTGAACATATGCGTTCTATATCCTTTGATCAATAAAACAGTTTACTGCTTTCTGTAGAGAACCCAGAAGTGAGGTTACAACTTTCTTAGAATACTTGGATCTGACTTTTCTGGACACAATTCAAATTTTTGTTACAATGTCCATAAATCTAGGTTAACTCCAGTAATGCTGTAAGTATCTGGCAAAATTGTTATTAAATATGAGTTTCCTTTTCAGAATGAACATTTCTGTGTCTTGTAACTCATTTTTATGTTGAAGAAAGTAAGGTTTTGAATAACAGTAAAACAAATTTCTGTCTGCATGCACTCAGCTATTAGATTATTCTCTGTAGTAGCAGGCTCAAATTTGCATCAGTTTTCTGGTTTATCATCCAATTTAAAAGAAGAATTGGAAGGATGACAATACCCAATACATTTCACAGAGGGATTATGCAAGTGCCTGACACCATCCATTTTAACATGCTCACTCTATCTCTCAATGTGCCTTCCATCAATAAGTAAATCTTGCTGTTAGCTCTTGAGATTAATTCATTATTTTCGTACTTTGTATGTATGAATGTTTAGGAAATCTTGAATCTAAGGGTTAATACTTTCTTTTCCCCTTGTTTTGCTTCTGTAGTGTCTTGCCAAAACTACCATTACATCAAAGGTCTTCTGGTCCTCCCAGAATGCACCCATTCTTTGATCTTATAAAAATGACCAGGAGAGGAGCAGCAGTTTGAGATCATCTGTCCTGCCTGCCTCGCCTTTTCCTTTCCTTTCATCCGCGAGCCAGTGTGCCACTTCCCTTCGCGGGGCTTCACTGAGTCCTTCCTCTGCTCACTCCCACCAAGTAACTTCTGCCTCCTGATGGTGCTTGCAACCAGCTATTTCTTTTCTCGTGATGCTCACCTTTCTCTTTCCTTCTTCCTAGATATTGTCTTCTTACCCTACAAATCTATTGCTCTTATTTAATACCCAAATACTTGTTCATCCTCTGCCCTCTACTACTTGGTGCTTTGCTTGTTCTTTCAGTTTTTTGCTAATACAGCACCTCTAGTTTTGTTCTGCCAACATTTTGACTTTTTTTACTGTAAAAGAATTTCTTTTGCTGCTAAGGGTATGCGCTTTTCAACAATTGCCTTTCTCTCCCATTCATACTTCTCACTTTCTGCTTAGTTCAGGGATTCAGATTGGAAACCAAAAATGCGGAATAAATAGATTTATAAGATTTTCTGATTTATGGATTTCATTTAAGGCTGTGTACTTGCACAAAGTCCACAAGCTAAACATATGTGTATATTTCTAATATTGCCTTCCTAATCCTCCTTTCCTCAAAAAACTGATATATAACATGATTTTTAAATTATGCTGTATTAGAAATGTTTTTCACTATTTTACAAAAAATAATTACTAAATAATGCAAGAAA